CATTTTCGTCAGTATCTGTATGAATGCATCAAATGCCAATACTCACTACTTGCTAATTTACTCACCATATTAGTTCCTTCTCTCACTGCTGTAACAAAACATCTGGCAAGCACCAACTTAAAGAGGGGTTTATTTCCGCTCACAGTTGAAGGGTACATTTTACCAGAGCCAGGAAAGCTGGTGACAGGAGCAAGAAGCAGCTGGTCACATTACATCCCCCATCAGGAAGCAGAGAACAATAAACAGGCACTCAGCCCTCTCCTTTTCATGTTCTACAGAACCCTAGCAAAGCATGGCAAAGCCCATTCAGAGTGGGTCATCCCACTTCAAGGAACCCAACCTCGATAATCCTTCAAGAATATGCCCAAAGGCTTGTCTCTAGGTCTCTAGATCCTGTCAAGCTGACTGACAATCAACATTAAATATCACATCTAATGTACACCAAGCACTTTTAACAACCATTTATGTAAAGGTTTACTGAGAATCTATGACAATTTTGTCACCTTGAGTTTGGTTCCCAGGACACACATGGTAGAAAGAATGAACTCCCACAAGCTGTCCTCTATCCTCCCCACACCCTTTGTGGCATGCATGCCTACACAAATGCACACAAGCTGCATACAAACTAAATAAAATGTAATGTACGTCTGTCTGTTGGAGGTGTAAACAGCCCCTAAAGGATGACTAGGGACTATCCAGTTAAGGCCATTTCCACAGAGGAACAAGCTGAGCAAAAGGCATGGAGCTAAGAAACAGCATGCTGTATTTCAGGAAACAATGAACAGCTGCTAAATGTTGCTTGAGGCTAGTAACACCAAGATGGGCCAGAATGGGGTGAGCTGTCAAGACAGGGAAAGAAGACAGTAACCAAAGGACTTCAGCCTCATTCAAAGGACATGGATCAGTGAGGAAATAATCAAAGGAAATGATTTGGTCAAAAGTTTATTCAGGAAGCAATGTAGCAGGTAGAATTAAAGGGTAAGACTAGAAAAAAAAGAAGTCTAGCTAGCAGACAATGTCTAGACAGACTAATACAAAAGCTATATCCAGATGGGTGTGGATTCCAGTGCTCAAGAGGCAGAAGCGGGAAGATCTCTGTTAGTTTCCAGACCAGCCTGGTCTACATAGCCAAGTTCCAGAACAGCCAGTACTACATAAAGTCTCTATCTCAAATGGGGAGCAGGGAGACCACATACTTAACCTGGAAGAATACTGTATATATAAAATACTGCTGCCTTCAATCCCAGCACTCAGGAGGAAGAGAGAGGTGGATCTCTGAGTTTGAGGCCAGCCTGGTCTACAGGGCAGTCAGAGATACCCTAGAATAAGCAGATTTTCTTTTTATAAAGGCCAAACAGTAAATATTTCAGCTTTATGTTCCACATACACTCTCACTCTTGTTTGTTTTGTTTTAAGCCCTGGCTTTCTAGGAACTCAGTATGTAAACCAGGCTGGCCTAGAACTCACAGCTGCCTCTGCCACACCTGGCTCTCTTCTTTTTGTTTTTTAAGCAATCACTTAAATATTAAAGCATCCAGCTTCACAGGGGACTCAATCCTTCTGGTTTCAGAGGGCACCTGCATGCACATGCACACAGACACACAATTAAAAGTAATAAAAATCGATCTTTTTGAAAATAATATTTAACTAATGAACTCTTTTTCTTTAAGGTTTACAGGGTGCCCTTGGGGTGTGAGCCAGCTAGTTTGTTGATCCTTATTACACACTGGTAAAGAAATGAGAATTAACCTTCCTATGAGATTAGTCTTCCTAAAAAGACACTTGCAACACATTAATGCCCAACTCTAAAACCTCCATCCCTGCTTGCTATCATGCCTAGCATTCATAGACATAATCAGCTCCTATCTACTGTCCCAGACTTCCAACTGTACCCTAAGATCTGCCCATTCCTATTAAACTGAACTACTTACACTTACCTGCTTCTGTGTGTGTGCTGTTTCCCAGCCCAGTGTTCTTTCCTTCTGCTCCAGAGAACAATTCATATCCTATTTCTGCATGACTCCGCCCTCCTCAGAACTTCTAAATGCACTATCTCAACAGAAATTTAATTGCTGATCTGAAGTTGTAATTTACTTCAAATAAACACTACATCTCTTGAGGGCAGGCAGTTTACACCACCCTCAGTTAATGGATCTAACAACATAAACAATGGGTAAATAAGATAAAGACATATGGGTATGAATGTATGTAATAAATGTACAACAACTTTCTGAAATAGCTAGTTAACTAAAGACAATGTGGTTTTACCCTTATTTCTCTCAATGACTGAATACTTTTCCAGTGTATACAACCTAAATACTAAACAAGACACAAAATGACAAGCAACAAACACATATTTCCTCAGTTTTGTTTTTTGAGACAAAGTTTCTCTTTGTAGCCTTGGCTGTCCTGGAACTTATTCTATAGACCAGGCTGGCCTGGAACTCACAGAGATCCACCTGCCTCTGCCTCCCAAGTGCTGGGATTAAAGGCACTGCCACCTGGACTAGTTGACTAGAGAAACAATAGCAGAATATAAATAAAAACTCCCCAACAGTAGATCAGTATTTCATCATAGTACAGTGTCTTTACACTACAGGTACAAGTGATCAGAACAACTCTACATTACATTCCTATAATTTTTCTTCATTTGTTTTTAGGATACAAATTAAGCTTCTAAAACTAAACTGCTTTCAATTTTCCCTTAATTTCCCCAAGATTAGTCAAATTTTAAAAAAGTCTCACATACCCCAAAAAAGTCATACATCTGAATTCCAGAAAGGTATTATGTAGTCCACCCAGATTTTAGAGGAAAATATAATTACTACTACTAAATCAAGATTTTTTGAACCAGGTTAAAGGATATAACCTGTGTTTGAACTCTAAGGATTTTTTTAAATTTTAACTATTTACATTGTGTTTTGCCTTCATGTATGTCTACGTGAGGGTATCAGATATTGGAATTATAGAGGGTAGTGAGCTGTCATTTGGGTGTGTTGGGAATTGAACCCTAGTCCTCTGGAAGAGCAGTCAGTGCTCTTAACCACTGAGCCATCTCTCCAGTCCCTGAACTCTAAGAAATTCTAAAACCAAAAGTATCAACTGTGTCCAATTTTACTACCTGTATAAATATTTAGCAATCTAAACTATTCTCTCCAAGATATTTGCCCACATTTCACTGTAAACTATAACAAAGAGTTAAAACATCCATAACAAATGTAAACTGGGTGGTGGTAGCACTGGCCTTTGATCCCAGGCATTGGGAGGCAGGGGCAGGCAGATCTCTATGAGTTTGAGGCCAGCCTGGTCTACAGAGCTCAACTACGGCTACACAGAAAAATCCTGTCTGGAAAAACAAAACATATAGAAATACCACAATGAAGCCGGGTGTTGGTGGCCCATGCCTTTAGTCCCAGCACAGCACTCGGGAAGCAGAGACAGGCTGATCTCTGAGTTCCAGGTCAGCCTGGTCTACAGAGTGATGAGTGCCAGCACAAGTTAGAAAACAATACAGAGAAACCCTGTCTCGAAAAACCAAAAAAAAAAAAAAAAAAAAAAAAAAAAAACAAAACAACAAAAAAGAAATACCACAATGAATAAATGCCAAAAGAATGCCATGATATGAAAAAAATGTGACTGTCTAATTCTCCAAAACATACTGGGGGTGGGGGGGACACTTATTTACAAACCTGCTGTTTAACAAAGAGTAATATTAATAGTACATTAATTTAAAAAGGGAAAGTCAGGAGCTAGAGATCAGCTTGTTCAATTCCTATTTCACCGCTGGCCTAGTCTTGGGTGCAGCACTAAAATCCTCTGTTTCCCCATATACTGACACAAGAATATCAACATTTTCAGGTTTTGAGAACTGATTAAAAGTCTGTAAGTACTTCAGGACCACAAAGGAACCACACTGTAGGCATAAAACGTCATACTTATCTAAGGCAAAAAACTACAGCTACCTGTTAGCAGTAGACCCAAAACCCAATCGTAATCCCTTTGTGTCTTAGTAGGGCAAATCCACTGTGAGCCCTGTAAGGTGCATGTATTTCTGGAGCTGGCGGGACAATCTCAGAGAAGGCACTAACTGCCTTCCAAATTTTGTTTTCTCAAAAAAAAAAAAAAAAAATCGTGTCACTATCCAACCCTAGTACTTGCAAAGGAACACATGAAGTTTAGGACTAGAATAGAGACCAGCAGGAATCACGGAGGAACTTTTTCTTCTTCTTTGTTACCATACCAGAAATGTGACCCCTGAAAATCTCAAAAAGGAATCCTTGTCTCGAGAGTTGAACTAAAGGGAAACGGCCCTAGCCTTTCTTACCTAAAGAACACCACCACATGGTTTTTAAGAGTGCAGACAAGAAGGCAGAATTCTCTCCAAGGTAAGCTAACTGGACAGGTAGTCCAGCACTCGGTGCTGAGCGCTGGGTACTGAAGAGATTGCTCGGGAAAAGTGCTGATACCATCTCCAGCTGCCCCTGGGTGACAGTAACAATGCAAACACTGACAAAAGAGCTAGGAGGCCACCCAGAGCCCCCGCCTGGCAGCACCTCTGCCTGAGCCTCCACATACAAAGCGACAAATCCCCGAGAGGCCATCCGCTGACAGATCTTCTAAGCGAGACCGAGAGTGGCAACATGAAGTGAGGGACAAAAGTACGGCTTGTCACTCCTTCCAGGGGCGCGAGATGCCTCGAAGGTGAGGGCAAAGGCTGCGGTGCTCTCGGCCAGTCCCTGGAACGAGGACCGCACCGACTCGTCCTTCCCCGCGGCAGCGGCCGTCCGCGAAGCCCCGCAGCCCGCGCTCGGCCCGACCCGGCCGGCAACTCCTCGGCCAACTCCGCGGGCGCCAGGCGGCCGGCCCAGAGCCGGGGTGGGGGAGGCGACACGGCCCGGCCCGGCCCGCTCCCTCGGCACGCGGTCCGCGCCCGCCGCCCGCGTCCCCGCCCGCCGGGCCCCGGCTGCTCAGCTCGACCGCTCGGCGGCCTGGCTCCCTACCTGAGGCGGTGTACCAGCTCCCGGCGTGGCTGGCTTCCCGGCAGACCACTCGGTTGGACATCTTGGAGCCTGTGCCGCCTATGGTGCACGAGGATGAATGAGGAGGCGGCGGCGGCGGCTCCGCGAGGGGACGAGACGCCGCGGGCCCAGCCCAGGAGGAGGCGGCCGCGGGGAGGGGACCGGCCCGGCCCAGGAGGAGGAGGAAGAGGAGGAGATGGCAGCCGGGGTGGGCGGCGGTAACAATCACCACAAACTCCGCCGGCCGCCGGAAGATGGGGCCCACGGCGGCTTCGCCCGAGCCGCGCGGCCGCGGAGTCGCCGCCGCTGCCCAGACCGGGCTGCTTCCGCGAGCCGCCCCCGGCCCCGCCGCGCGCGGCCTGCCGAGCCTCGCGCTGACCCCACCCCCGTGACTCCGCGCCGGCCCTCCCCCACCCGCCCCGGGCGCCCCGCCCCGCCCCCACCGCCGGGCCCTCCCTCCCTCCTGCCGCGCGCCCGCCGGCCCCGCCCCGCGCCCCCGCTCTCCGTGCGGTGTGCTCAACGGCGGAAGCGGGGCGGGGCCCGCGCCATCCGGGGTCGGGCGGCCGCGGGCTGGGTGGTGGTGGTCGGTGCCTCCTCTCTCACCCCTCCATTCCCCCCACACACACTACACCCCGGGGCCGGGGCCGGGGCCTGAACCCGGGAAGCCCACGCGTCCTTACTCTCCGCTGTACCGGGGCCGGCACACTGAGCATGCCCAGCGCCGCGGCTCGGCCCGCCGAGGAGGCTCAGCGTGCAGGCTCCGCTCTCCGGGGTTTAGCGCCAGCAGAGGCTGGGGGCAGGGCGCAGGACGCAGCCGCGAGGCGGGGAGAGCCCCTTCCCTCCCCCCCTCCAGCCGCCTGGCGTGTCCTCGCGCGCCGCCGGCTCCGCACGCACACGCGGTCGCTGCTCGCCAAGCCCGGCCGGGGTTCCCCCTGCCACCGCGTCCCTGGTGGATCCCCACCCCCGGGGTTTCGCCCAGGAATGCAAGTCTGGGGCCGTGCCGGGAAGTTTCATTTGTAGAATCGCGAGTGCGGCTAAGCTTACCGGGGATGGAGGGGAGAGCGCTGTAGCGGTCGCTTCCCAGACTAATCCCTAACTTCTAGTAGTGTGGCTTTGACACAGTTATATTAACTAATTGTATCTTAGCTGTAACTGCAGTGTGTCAAAGATTGTCTCGTTTATTTCCTACTGTGTAAAATGGGGATGGGGGGGGATGACATTCCGACGGAAGGGCTACCTAGGATTATGAGTTAGTGCTTGCAAGGAGCCGAACAGAGTAAGGTATACTACAAATGTCACCCTTCACACTTGCCTTATTAAATCTCAAGTATCAGCAGAAAAGAATTCCTTTACAAGTTGAGTAGAATCACAAAGAAAGTGGGTTTGGCTTTGAAGCCAAACTATTCCAAAACTATGAAGTGTAACAGCGGTGCATCTCCTAGAAAAATATTTGGGACCAAAGTCATACAAGTATATCTTAGTTTCACATTAAACTAGATCCAAAGTAGATGTCTAATAGTGAAATGTTCCTTAATGTCATAACAATATACTTTTTGTTTGGTTAGGTTTTGCCAAGTTCTCAAATGTTATGAAGCTCTGTAGTTACTGTTAATGACAAGAAGGTAAATTGTTTCTCCCAAGAGCTTGTGTCACATACCCAACTTAGCAAAGATCACAATGATGAATAAAATATGGGCTCTTGGGCTAAAGAAATGGCTCAGAGGTTAAAAATATGTACTGCTCTTACAGAGGACCCGAGTTGAGTAACAGCACCCACATTGGACAGCTCCCAAACATGTCAGCCCAGGTCCAGGGTACCTGACGCCCTCTTCTGGCCCCTACAGGCACCTACGATTACATACACATACCCCAATACAAATAAACAATTAAATCTGTTTTTAAAGATGTCTAGGATGCTTTCAAGTATAGACTTTTCCTTTTTATGACTAAGTCTCGCTATGTAGCCCCGACCTGGTTGGAACATCCAATGTAAACGTAGCTGACTTCGAACTCAGAGAACCACCTGACCCTGCCTCTGGAGGGATAAGTGGAAGTCAGGTGCCACAACAGCAGCAGTTTGAAACAGGATCTTATATATCCTTGTCTGGCCTAGGACAGAGTATGTAGACCAGGCTGACCTTCAGCTTGCCAGGAATCCACCCATAGCCTCTTGAAAGAAGTCAATTGACTCTATTCACTTACACCGCCTATAAATGCTAACTTTCGCCTTGCGATGATGACGTGGCATACTCCTTTAATCCCAGCACTTGGAAGGCAGAGGCAGGCAGATCTTTGAGAGTTCCAGGCCAGCCTTTCAGTTACATGAGAAACCATGTCTCAAAAAAAAAAAAAAAAAAAAACAAAAAAACCTAACTTCTTACTCTAGAAGTTTATTAGAAAATTTTCATTTTCATTTATTAATTTTACAAACTGTTGGAGTGAATTGTGTGAGGATCAAACCTTGGTCCTCTGAAAGAGCAACAAATAGTCTCACCTCTCCAGGCCCCTCTTGTTATTGCAGAGATACAATACTAATTAGCTAAAATACTTGTTGCTTAGCTCTGAGAACATAGGTGGAACTGGGTTGAATGCCCATTTCAGCATTTACCAGCAGTGTTGTCTTAGGCAGGCATTTTAACACCTCCAGTCTGTCTGTCTGCTTGTCTGCAAAATGGGAAAAAGAGTTCCTCAACAGAGTTCAATTTCAGAGATCATTTAAGGAAAATACTGCAGATTTGGTGGCTATTATAAGTGATTACTACAAGGCCAACACATTCAAAGCCGCAAGCAGTTCATGGAAACAAAACCTAAAAAGTAATGGTGTTTTAACAGTTTATTTTGAAGGTCTTTTTAAAAACGAAGTAAAAGACAATCTGAGAAAAAAAATTGCACAGATGATACTCATTAAATAAGTATGGTTGATTAAATCAGACAGGGATGTGTTCTCTTCTGCAATTCGAGGAGTGAAGGTTCCAGAGGGGGAGGGGAATCACGGCAATTAGAGCTGCCTCGTAATCGTGTAAATCTACAGTAGCAACCAAGTGTTTCTTTTCTTCCAGAGTAATCAATTTCTATCTTCAAACTGTGCCTTATTTTTTAAAAGATAAGATGCTAGAAACTCAATGGGATTTGGCGGTCTGTAAAGGAAAAAGAAACACAAAGGTTAGATGTTCTGCACATATGCTAATTTAAACATTATACCATTTTTTAAAATGCATCTGTTTGATTTTCATTTCACAATGAAAGGCTATTTATAATAATATTTGTAAATGAGACAGGCAAGCTAAGGGGCCAAAACTAAAGTTTAAAAGGACTTACATTGTTTTATAGCTTAAAACCAAATACAAACTCAATTCTAAAACACAAGGGTTTTTGTTTCCTCTTTACTATTATTGCATGTATGCATGGGGGGAACAGACGCCTCACCTGTATGGAGGCCAGAAAAAAACTCTGGAGCCCTTCTCTTCTAGCACTTTCATGTGGGTTCTAGGTACTGAACTCAGGTAACCAGGTTTGCTCTGCTCTGCAAATGCCTTTACATACTAAGCCCAAAAACACAAGCTGAGGAAATGAAATCCTGCATGCCTACAGGAAATTTCTAGGTAGGATACAAGCAGTGGTCAACTTTATGACCTTAGTGCATGTAGCACGAGTGTTTAGTTTCAAACCCGCCCATTGTGGAAATGGCTTTAACTCCCAGCACTCTGGAGGCTTAGCCTATATGGCCAATTCCAGGCCAGCCAGAGCTACGTAGTGAGAACCTTTATAAAAACAAAACCAAACTCATCAAGCTGTATGCCTACAGCAGGTTAAGTTTCCAAGCATTAGCCTTCAGCAAAAAGAAATAATGAGCATGCTGTTAGCAACATTAGCACACAAAGGCATCAACGTTCATTTAGACAACCTGCTTCTTTTTAAACAAACACTTCAAATTTTCTTTGAATCTCTCATTACATTTATTTTGTGGGAGGTATGGCAGTTATGTGGAAGTCAGAAGGCAATTCACTCTACTATGTAGGTCATGGGGAATCAAACGCAGGTCCTCAGGCTTGGTGGCAAGCCTCTATCTCACCAGCCCAAATTTTTTAAATTAGTATTTATGCTACAACAATGAATTCACACCTGAGAAAACCACTGATATATTTTAAAGGTATAACTGCATATTTATCACTTTTATGCAAGTTATTTCTGGGAGAAATCTGTCTAAGTGCTAAAAATTGGGGAAATTTCTCAATTCTTCGTCAAAAGGCACACTAAAAACTGAACATAGTGACATGTCTGTAATCCTACTCCAAACCAGCCAGGTTTATGTATCAAGTTCAAAACCACTACAAAACAGCGAATTTTTTCCTCCCAAACCCTCCCACACACAGCATACTGAGTGGGGAGTAATCCCAGGATTTGGGAGACAAAAGCAAAAAGGGTTACATCAAGGGCAGAACCAGCCTTCACAGAGAAGGAGCTGTGGCTCACATGTATAATCCCAGCACCCAGCACTCCCAAACAGTTGCCTGGAGTTCACACTCACTTTATATAGAAAATCTGAGGCCAGCCTGAACTACACAAAGACAAACTCTTGAAAAAACGACAAGTAAAGAGATGGGAAGTAAACAGAGAGCATGCCTAGCATGAACACGTACAAGGGTCAAGCCCTGGCACTGCATAAATTGGACAAGGTGGCACTCACAAGTAATCCCATTTCATATGGGAAGCAAAGGCCAGCCAGGGATAACACAGTAAGGAAAAGAGGAAAGGTAACAAGAGAAGGAAGGGTAGAAGGGAAGAAGGAAAAGACAGAATGGGGCCAGACACAGTGGCATATTCCTGTAATCTCAGAACTTGGAAGACAGAGGCAAGCAGATCTCTTGAGTTCTACACCAGTCTGGCCTACATAGCAAATTCCAGGCCAGCCAAGGGGACATGGTGAGACCCTACTCCAAAAGGTGGGGTGCAGGATGAGAGAAAAGGAAGACAGGCAAGTGAGCATACAGAAAAATAATTTACTATGATTTAAAAAAAAAATCTCCTGTTCTAGGCATGTCAGCAGCACATGCCTGGGGGATGGGGGTAAAGTTAAACAGCCAGATGATGGTAGTACTGGCCTTTTGCCTATATCACTGGGGAGGCAGAAGCAGGAGTCTTGAGTTTGAGGCCAGCCTGGTCTATAGAATGAATTCTGCAGCCAGGGCTACACAGAGAAACCCTATCAAAAAAAAGAGGCAGTTGTGGTATATGCCTTTAATCCCAGCACTCAGGAGGGAGAGGCAGAAGGGTCTCTTATGAGTTTGAAGCCAGCCTTGTCTACAGAGTGAGTTCTGGGACAGGTTGCAAAGCTAGACAGAAACACTGTCTCAAAAAAAGATTGATTTATTGATATATATATATGTGTGTGTGTGTGTTACGCGCACGCGCGCATGCAAGCACATATATGGTCTGCATGTACATATGCATGCCTGAAGAGGGCATCAGATCCCCTTACAGATGGTATTAAGATACCATGTGGTTCCTGGAAATATAACCAGAACTTCTGAAAGGGCAGCTGGTACTATTTTTTTTGGACTTGATTTTTTTTGTTTGTTTTGTTTTTTCAGCTGGTACTCTCAACTGCTGAGCCATTTCTCTACGATTTGCCTTTTTGCTTGCTTTTTGAGACAGGGTAGCCACTGACTATCTTGGAACTTGCTCTGTAGACCAGGCTGCATACACATACACATACCCCAGGATACACATATGCATATGCATACATACCTGCGAACACACACAATCAAATATAACAAAATCTAACTAATCT